CCCCGATCCGGTGGCGGCGGCGCCTTTTGTGCCTCGTCCCTTGGAGGAGACACAGCTCTCTCCGGTCGGGGGAAGCCTCACTGCTCCGCCGCCTCCCACCGCACCCTGGGGCGGGCGGGAAGAGCCCGCGGGGAGGTGTGAGGGGACGGGGATGGCCTTTCCCGCCCTTGGGTGCTGTGGAGCCCGGGGAAGTGCCCGTTCCCCTTCCCCCGACCCGCCTTGGGGAGCGAGGGCAGGGGAGGAGCTCGCTGGCCTCCTGACTGGCATCATCTCTGTGGAGTTCAAGCCCTTCTGTGGAAAGCCGAAGGTGTGGGTGTGGGTTTAGCGGTTGTGCAGGTTCTGGCGAGCGCTCCTTTGGACCTGCAGGAGGGTGAGGTGGACCTTGTCACCGTGTCCCAAGGCGTGGTTGTCCCTGCTCGGTGTCAGCTGTTTCCCCCGACCTGCGGGAGATGGTTGCGGGGTCGTGCCCATGGAGGGTGTGAAGGCCTGGCAGCCTGCCCAGCGCCTGTGGCAGCCGGTGCCGGGAGCGATGACGCTCACGAGGAGCGGGACACCGTCCCCGTCGAGCGTGTTCGTAGAATCATAGGTGCCCCCATCCCTGGAGGGGTTCAAGGCCAGGCTGGATGGGGCTTGGAGCAACCTGGTCTGGTGGGAGGTGTCCCTGCCCAGGGCAGGGGGGGTGGAACTCGATGATCTTTGAGGTCCCTTCCAACTCTAATCATCCTACGATTCAGGTTGGAAAAGACCCTAGGAATCATCTAGTCCAACCATCAACCCCCCCTCTACAAAGTTCTCCCATATCCCCCAACCCCACATCTTAAACACATTCAGGGATGCTGACTCAACCACCTCCCTGGACAGCATATTCCAGTCTATGAGCACTCTTTCTGTGAAGAATTGCTTCCTAACCTGTCCTGACCTGGACAGGCTGGAGAACCTCATGAGGTTCACCAAGAGCAAATGCAAGGTTCTGCACCTGGGCTGGAACAATCCTAGCCATCAGTACAGACTAGGGGGTGAGGTACCAGAAAGCAGCCCTGAGGAAAGGGACTTGGGGGTGCTGGTGGAGGAGAAGCTGGACATGAGCAGGCAGTGGGCACTTGCAGCCCAGAAGGCCAATCCCATCCTGGGCCGCATGAAAAGCTGCGTTGCCAGCAGGTCCAGAGAGGTGATTCTGCCACTTTGCTCTGGTGAGACCTCACCTGGAGTATTGTGTGCAGGTCTGGAGCCCTCAATATTGGAAGGACATGGACCTGATGGAGCAGGTCCATAGGAGGGCCACAAGGATGATCAGGGGGATGGAGCACCTCTGCTCCGAGGACAGGCTGAGGGAGCTGGGGTTGTTCAGCCTGGAGAAGAGGAGGCTCTGGGGAGACCTAATAGCGGCCTTCCAGTACCTGAAGGGAGCCTACAGGAAGGCTGGGGAGAACCTGTTTAGAAAGGCCTGCAGTGACAGGACGAGGGGCAATGGCTTCAAGCTGGAGGGGAACAGATTTAGATTGGAGATGAGGAGAGGGTTCTTCACTGTGAGGGTGGTGGAGCCCTGGAACAGGTTGCCCAGGGAGGTGGTTGAGGCCCCTTCCCTGGAGATAATCAAGGTGAGGCTTGATGAGGCCCTGGGCAACCTGGTCTGGTTGGGGGTGTCCCTGCTGACTGTGGGAATGATGGATTAGATGGGCTTTGGAGATCACTTCCAGGCTGGACGAATCTATGATTCTAATGTCCAGTGTAGTTCAGCACCTCAGTCACTGTCTTCCCCTCAAGTTCTCTGGGAAAGTGAACTTCTCAAAAAGGGACTTCTTTCTGGATGGGACGTAGTTCATATGTGTATGAAAACATCCCCTTTGAAGGTCACAGTGGTGGTGAGGAAGAGGATTTTTAAAATGGCTTAAATCTTTTCTATGCTTTTTTCAAGGAGGAGGGGAACCCAAACCAATGAAACAGTTTTAAGAAGAAAAAGTGAAGTGATGCAAGGCACAGTCTGTGGCAATGCAGTATGCATCACTGTGTGACTGGAATGTAGGTCTTGCCTGATTTTCACAGAATATTCATGGTTGGAAGGGACCTCTGAGATCATCAAGTCCAACCATACACACAAAAAAAGCAACCAACCCCGTCCCAACAATCTCAGGCACTAGAGCATGCCCTGAAGTGCCACATCTATATGTTTCTTGAATCCCCCCAGGGATGGTGACTCCACCACCTCCCTGGGCAGGCCCTTCCAGTGCCTGACCACCCTCTCAGGAAAGTTATTCTTCCTAAAATCTAATCTAAACCTCCCCTGCCCCAACTTCAGACCATTTCCTCTGGTCCTTGTTCCATGAGGTTATCACTCAAACCTTGCTGATGTACTTCAGTGCCTTCAAGATCCTTGTTGCTTGGGTAATAAAAATGACATGTTAAATTTATCTTAAGTTAAAATATTTTAAGGCTTTTGGTGAGAATGGACCTGCTCAAGTGTTTCCTGGGGCCCTGAATGGTATGAGGGTAACTGTTAAGGGTAGAAGATGCAGTTGTTACTGGAAAAAAGTTTTTGGATAGCAAAAGCTGAGGAGGGGAAGGTCATGTAGGCCTGAGCAATCCAGATGGCCTAGTAAGATAGTCTTGTTTGGATGACTTGCCTTCACCTATGATTAACCACAATTTACGTTCTTTATTCTTAGGCCATTAGTCCTTATTTTTTGGTGTCATCACCTGTTGTGACAAGAGGTAACTCAGAATGTCTCGGGCAGGAGTTTGGAGAAGCAGCTGGCAGCATATTGATGATGGTGACTTCTTAGGCTATGACTAAGATGAATTTTAAGGCTCTTCTGAATAATGACTTATCTTTACAGTTGCAATGAGTTTTGCATGAAATACTTTCTGGAATTACATGCCATTCATTATATTAAAAATATGATGTTAACATAATTATGTTGTATATAAATGTTATATATATATTAAAAAAAAGAAAGAAAAGCCAGTGACAAAATGGGAAGTGTTCTGAGAAGAGGCTGGTAAGTTGGACTTGCTGTAGGAGAGTGAAGAAGCTCCATCCACCTAGATAATCCACTTATCTCATCTTGGCCTTGCTTTGCCTGCGAGTTCTTCATGCCTTCAGAATATCTGCATGGGGAGAATGGGTGAAACAAAGTGATTTGCTGTGAAATGTTCCTTGGCTTTTAGTTCTGGCTCGCTCGGCAGCCTGACGGAGACAGGCTGGTAGTCTGCCAGCCACTTCCAAGCAGTGCCTGCAAGAGCCCCTGCAGATACGTGTTATCACACCTGACTCTTCCCTGTTGAGGCCCATGCTAACAATGGAGAGTGTTAAATACACATAGCTGCTACGTGTCTGGAACTCCTGGGGCTGTGAATTGAGCGTGCAGCCTTTCTGCTGAGGAGCACTGCTCGTGTTTTGTGGCTGTGTTGAGTCATAGGGTGCTGCAATCTCTGAGACCTTTTCCGGCATGGTGGTTTAACTCAGTGGCTTCCTTAAGCTTCCTCTTTACCTTCCAGCCCCGGATCTCCCAAGGAGGCTCCCCCTGTCACTTTGCAGGAGGGTGGGCTTTTTGGGAATGCAGGATGGTGCTGCTGCTGTTGTCTTTGCCCCTTCAATGGGCTGGATTGCAGGAGATGTTTGCAAAGTGATGGCTGTTGGTGCACCCCGGCTGAGTACCACATTGCTCTTTGGCTTTGCCTCTTTACAGAAAGAAATTCTTTGCTGTGTGGGTGGTGAGACACTGGCCCAGGTTGCCCAGAGAAGCTGTGGCTGCCCCATCCCTGGAGGGGTTCAAGGCCAGGCTGGATGGGGCTTGGAGCAACCTGGTCTGGTGGGAGGTGTCCCTGCCCAGGGCAGGGGGTTGGAACTAGATGATCTTTAAGGTCCCTTCCCACCCAAACCAGTCTATGATTCTATATCCTGCATAGTGGGAGGACATAGTGAGTCTATATTGTAGGTAATGACATGTACTTCGTTAAAGCTGACCCGTTACAAGGGTCCAACTCTCAATGTGGGCACCATAGTCTGGGTAGACCAAGTAGATGGAGACACTACAGTTTGCTGTGGCCTGTCTGCTGGTCTGCTGTCCTTTCAGGTGAAGCAAGGCAGATAAGAATAATTCTGTGGTGCTCACTTGTCATCTAGGCTGTGGTACAGAGCGAGCTAAGGATGATGCTGGACTTCTGCTTGACTTTTTTCCTGCCAATAAAAATAAAAATCTGTTCCCAGCTATTTCAGGAGGGCGGAAGCTTGTTCCCAGTGCTGTGAGCGTGGTCCAAGAAAAGGGAGGAGAAAAAGCTTCTTTTAAGAACAAAGTGTTCTTGTACTTTGACTCTCTGCTGTCACTGACAATGGAGATCAGTTGGTGCACAATAGCTTTTTCTCTGTGCTGAGCTGGCTCAGCAAGGCACATGCCCCTGCAAAATGCAGCGTTGGGGACATGTGCTTCTGTTGGGTTCCGTTGTGGGTTGGGTTTGACCCTTAATTACTGCACTAGGAATAACCAGCTTTATGTCAAATAGACAAGTCTATTTTTTCCTATGTGATCATATTTTTTTCTATGGGATAAGGGGGAGGAAAAAAGAGCAGAAAAAGCATGACCAGCTATGCTAATACCAGAGGAATGCAGTACAGCAAGCAGACTACTTGCTGTTAGAAAATTTACTTTCCCCATCATGTAGGTATTCCTTAAAGTACATTATTTTCCTTTGGAATTGCCCTACCAAACTAAGCAAACTTTTAGGAAACTGCTCACTTTCTTCTGCCTGTGGCTTCCCTTTCAGTGCTAATAGAGGGAACTCTGGCACCATGTAAGCATGGGTTTTTTT